TTCACCTCCACGGATGGAGTCGCTGCTCCTTGAAGCTCGCCTTTGCCCTCTGATTGCCTGGGTCGACACTCATCGCTTCTGCTTTGAATGCCTCGGTAGGGACCATGGCAGAGATGGCATCCGCTGCCATGTGTTGACTGCCGAGCCATTCCTCTCATCCGGCGACAGCAGCGCTGGGAGCTCTTCCAGCAGTGTGAGCTCTCCCTCATCTGCAAGGAGAGCGAGGAAGATGGCGGCCCGGATCCCCTCCCCGCTAAGGATGCCCCGGCCCCCGATCTACCGCCTCAGTCGGCTTCACGCTCCCTGCCGTCCCTGCCGCCACCGATTGAAGATGATGCTGACAGCCTGTCATCTGCGTCAGCCACCTCTACCACGGCCACCTTGGCGTCTCTAAAGAGCAAATGAATTCCTCTTCAGTCCGTCAGGACTTCCCTGCGGTTATGGCTATAGCGGCAGGGCGCGTCGGGCTAGCACTGTCTCCCCCTATCCAGCCTAAGCCGGTGAGTCTGCTCCGGGAGGGGTTCTATGGACCGACATGGTCAGTCCGCCTTCTGGCAGTGCGCCAAGGCATCCTGGGCAGAGCCGCAGCGGACGAGGGTGCCCGTCGCGGGTTTGATTGATTTCCTGTGCGTGCAGGGCCACACAGAAGCAGCTGTTCCGTGCGTGCCCCTGCTGGAAGAGGCCCTCGCTGCCCACTTTCTTACTCACTCTGCTAGCTGGTCAGCCGGAAGGAAGCCCCGCCCGCCGCTGGCGCAGGATAGGGGGACGTTGGAGTATTTAGAAAAAATATTCCAACTGGGCATGCAGCTGGACGCAGCGGCCAACAATCTGGGTGTGCTGGGCGTCGCGGCGGCATCCGAGTCCCCGATTGCCCCCCCTCATCGGACCAGGTAGATTTCCTGCCCCGAGCCATTGGTCAGATGAATAACCTGGTCCAAGGTGTGGCCACCGCTGCTGGGGGTGTGATGTCTCTGGCCACAGTAGGTTCTCACCACGTGTGGTTGGGACTCACCGCTCTCCATGGGAAGGACTGGGAAGAGCTGTTGGATGCCCCCATCTCATCCGACGGCCTCTTTGACTCCATATCCTCCTCTACTCAGCGCTTCAGAAGGCTGGAGGAGGAGAAGCCACCTGGCTCAGGGCAAGGGCGGCGAGCCTCGCCATCATAATGCCACTCTCAGACGGCGTGCTTGCTGTCAAGCCAGATCACTGCTGTCGTCATCACCGGCCACTCAGGGTGGATCCACGGATGCACCGCGCCCTCCCTGAGACACCGGGCCGCCCAGGGGATCAACATCGCGGCCAGAGGAGCAGCCTAGACCCCCACCAGCCTACCTGTGGCTGTGGGAAGAAGCGGCCGCTGAAATGACTGGCTGAGGATGGAGAGTAGCCGGCCGATGTTGCCGAGCCCCTCCCCTCCGTATCATGTCCAAGCCACTGTGTTAATACATTGTGTGCTGCTTGTGACAATGTTGTGAATGTACCAAATGTTTTGATTAAAACAGCCTACATTCCTCAAAGAGCTAATTCCTCCCCACCAACCCCTTCCCAGCAAAGTGTTGTGCTGAGCACGCCACATCAACACGGCACGTTCACCGACGCTAAGCTAGCGGCTTACCCTGTGGCCCACACCGCTCTCCCGGCCAAACGAGACGGTGGTGCGGCCTGGGCATCCACAGTGCTCGCTACGCCGCCTGAGCTGCGACACACTCCGCTTCCGCGGCATGACGGGCGAGAAACGAGCCGCTCTTGCCGTAGAAGCGGCACAATGCAGCTATCTGATCCTAGCCTGCATTCCCAGCGTGCTTACGTGAACCCGCTCTGCTAGCTCACCGGCAGTATTTTTGTTGCCTCTGCGAGTAGCTCGCTGCGCCGTTTGGCAGCAGAGGGCACACAATCTCTCCCACAGTGGACAACAGCTGTGGAGAGGAGAGCTCCACGGCTCGTCACTGCTCCTCACAACAGTTCTGCCGATAGTGACGCTACGACAACACTGTCGCAGGCAATGACGTCAACGGAGCGACCGGCCGTGGTGTGTTCAGGACACCACAGTCCGCTCGTTTTTTTTTTGGGACTTTCAATTGCGGTGCCCCTTGGGCCAAACTCCCGTTTATGGAGGGTTTGGTAGTGGTGAGGGCCAAGGAAGCTTTCCAGCGTTTCGTCCACAACGCTCCTCAGCTAACAGTGCATCCCCTGACTCATTTCCACACGGAATGGAGACGCTGCTGCAAGACAACAGACTGGATGAACAGCACATTGAGGCGGGGTTACTCCCTACAATTTTGCCGTATCCCATGCCGTATTGTCTTTCCAGGGCATCAAGGAAGCCAGGCTTCAGACCCATCCTGGATCTCTGTTACCTGAACCAGCATATTGCACGGAAACTGTTCCGCATGCTGACACTCAGAAAACTGCTAGAGCTAGTGCAGCCCGGCGATTGGTTGATGACCATAGACCTGAAAGACGCCTACTTTCATGTTGAGGTGGCCTGGAAACACAGGAAGTTTCTGCATTTTGCCTTCCAGGAGTCAGGCGCCATAGGCAAGCTGCCGGTGTTCGGCCATCCTCGCCAGGTTTGGCTCCTGAAAGGGAGAGGTTGAGACAGGCTGGGCTGTCCGCAGAGGTGGTACATACCATCCAGGCAGCGAGGGCAGGCTCCACCACTTCCTGCTGCAAACCTAAGTGGCTGGGCTTTCAGTGCTGGTGCATTGACAAGGAAATGGATCCCATAACCCGCTCAGTGGGATCCATCCTTTCCTTCTTACAGGGCCAAATGGAGAAGGGACTGTCACACTCAACCATTAAGGTGTATGCGGCAGCTATCTCATCTTGTCATGAGGGGTTTGGTGACAGACCTGTCTTCACCCACCCCCTCGTGAAGCGTTTTCTGCAGGGTGTGAGGAGACAACGACCAGTGCTTCGTTTCTCCGCACCCCAGTGGGACCTGCCACTGGTACTAGAGGCTCTGAGGTCAAACCCCTACGAGCCCCTGGAACAGTCCTCCTTGAAGATGCTATCTCTCAAGATAGCCTTGTTACTGGCTCTCACCTCTGCCAAGAGGGTGAGTGAGCTGTGCGCCCTGTCGGTTTATCCCAGCTGCGTGCTGCTTCATTGTGACCACAGTGCAGCAGTGTTAAGACCGAACCCCTCCTTTGTTCCTAAGAACATAAGAAGCTTGTTCAGGTCGAGGACCATACATTTGGATGCCTTCCACCCTCTGCACCACCCTGGGCCTAGGGAGGCGAGGCTGCATCTGTTGTGTCCTGTGCGCGCCCTAACACATTATATGAAGCGCATGGCCCCCATTCGTTGCACTGATCAAATGCTCGTTTGCTTTGGTGACGGTGCGATCGGTAGCGCCTAGCCGAATGGCTTTGTGACTGTATCTCACAGGCCTACGTGCAGGCAGGGAAAGACCCACCCTCGGTGGTCTGGGCTCACTCCACACGGGGTGTGGCTGTGTCGGCCCTATTCAGCGGGGTGAGCGTCGAGGAGATTTGTACAACGGCATCGTGGTCTTCACCATGTCCCTTTGTTCGTTTTTACCTCTTGGATGTGTTGGGCTCCTTTTCAGGATCTGTGCTTACAGGTGTGACTCAGGATCTGTGAAGAAGGAGACTGGTGTCTACCATAGACTACCGGTTGTCGGGGAAAACATTTTTACGCTGACTGTGCCGGATGTCCCTATAAGGGGTCAGGACAGTTCAGATGTTTGGATCTGGATCCCTCTTGGTCATGCCAAGAGCAGTCTAGTGACCTTTCTGAGGGGTGGCCCACTGCCCCATCGCTTAGGATGGAGGCAGCTGAAGGGGTGGTTTGATGCTGAGCAGTGAGGACGCCGCTATTTATCCGGTGCGCACGTACAGTAGCGACGTCCAATTGGTCGGCTACTTACAGTACGCAAAATTTCAGTGGGCAAGTACGTACGTGTGATAGGAGAAGAGGTAGTACCCATAGAGTCCAGTAGAGGGCTCCGTCTGTGCTAATAGAACTAGGGTTACCATATCGTAACCTTCGTTTTCCCCCGAGATTCTCCTGTATTTTTCCGTTCTCATCCGGTATCCACTCGTTAAATGTTTCCCTGTAAATCTCCCATATTTTTAACCTTTATGAAATCAAATAAAAACCTTCTGCCCGTATTTAAAGTGTTTGCTACTCTCCCTCTGGTAAAGTCGGTGGCAGCATGGAAAATATGTAGACTGTGCTTCTTGCACAAGGATTAAAAATGAAAACAAATCCACAAATGATATAAGGCCTATAGCCTACTAATGGCAAACCATATGAAATTATAATGAATATCGTAGCCTATGTAATATTAACAATTGACTGTATAATATGGAATTTACATTGTGGCCTATTTTTATTTATTAAAATTTTCCTTATTTTCAAATCTCACTGAAGGCAGTTTTGACTCCTCTCTGTAGCCCTTCTCCCTCTCTCCACTCCTCTCTCCCCCCTAAAGCCAACAGAACCTGCCCCAGCTTTCCAGAACAAAAAGCAGCTACTTCAGAGTTTATCATCGACTCATGATGCCTGTGCCCCTTTTTCTCCTAAATATTTTGGCTACAGCCTTTTTTGTTGCAGTTTTTATGGTTGTAGTAAATTTATAAAGATGCTGTTTGTTCTGTTTTTGTAGTTTATTTAGTAAAGCTATATTTGTTAAGCTAAAAGATGTTCACAGTAACCAGGCAAAGGGTGCTATGGTTTCAGTCTCTAACACAGATTGAGCGGAATTTGTTGCCCATGTTTCCCGGCAATACAATAAACAGTTATCATTTCATGATACTTTATCATCTGTTAACTTTAACACTTAATACATTGACCAATTAAATAATATACAGTATACTGTATAATGCTACATGGTAAATAAAAGGCTCCAAATAGACCCAGTGATCGGTGATCGGTATCGGCCGATACTGCTTTCAGCAATCGGCCCAAAAAATCCTAATCGGAGCAACTCTAGCAATTATATATAGTGAAAATAAAAGACAAGCAGCTTCTCCCGTCAGACTGCACCTCTGTGCTATTTATATGCATAATATAATGAGCAAAATTAAACAAGGTAATTATAGATCACATAGAAACTCTGCAAGATAAAATACAAGCCTTCAATGAAGAGTAAATTATGTCTAAGTGAGAGAAAAAGTCCCGAGTGGATCCAGAAGTTACTGAATCAGCTGTAGCTGTAATTTCCAACTTGTGGTGTGACCCAGTGGACCGGGACTCTGCTGCAGATGGTTGATCCAAAGCTGTGACACATCTTTGTCTGCAGGGGGGAGGACAAGTCAGTGGGGAAAAACAGTGGCGCTTGCGTTAACCTCAAACACCTCTAATATAGACTTTAGGCCCTAATAGGCAGCTGAGTGGGAGCCAGGAGACTGAGTATGGAGCAGTAACAAACACAGGGATAGACGGGAACACTCAAAACACAGTGAATTGAAAGAATAAAAGGAGACACTATAGGAAAACACTGATGACAATCGCATTAATCACCATTCAATCCCTGGTCAAATGACATTGCAGTGATGCAGGTAGTGTCCTCTGTTTCTAATTAGCAGATGTCTATCGGGCCTCAACGTTACATCCATGTGTGTAGTAATAATACCATACTAGATCTGCCGGCTGAGACTTTATAGCTGCGCTGTTATGTTTTTCAGAGCACACAAACACTGTAAACACACACCTGTCACCTGCCCAGCATGGTGCTGTTACCCAGAAACACAGCTTCTACAACTTATCTTTACAGTTTATACACACAGCCCACAGCTGGGTTAATAGCCTCATTTAAAACCTGCATGTACCGACAGTAACGTAACTCATGCATGTCAGCAACAGTTAGCCTAATATTGCTAACTTGCTAATATTATCATATCTTACCTGCTGTACTGTCCACTTCTTTCTTGTCAGATGGATAGCATTCCTTTCACTGTTGACTTTGTGTGTGAGACCACATGGACAGAAATGCTGTACACTTTTGGTTATGATATTATAAATGATAGTCTTCCCTCCAGCCCTGCTCACTTCCTCTGCTTGCTTTCATGGCAGTGTTCTGGCAGTCAGAGCTCCCCCTGCAGTCCATAAAGTGCCTCTGCGCCTCAGCCTTTCCAAACCCTCCCTGCAGCCTTTGGGTCTCCTCAATCCTCAAATCCCCAAATCCCCAAAACCACAAAACCACAAAATATACAAAACCCCAATCCTAAATACCAAATCCCCAATCCTAAATGGCAAAATGCCCAATCCTAAAACCAAATTCATTTTCGACTTCGACTTTTGGTTTTTGATTTTGACTTTTAGTTTCCAATTTCGACTTTTAGTTTTCAACTTTTAGTTTTAGTTCGGACCCAATAATCCCTCCATAGTTTGGCCGATAGGTCGATATATCTTTTTTGTGCATGTAACAGGTTTGCAAAGTGAAAAAGCCCAAAGTCCAGCCCAAAGGGAGTTCCCATCTTGTTTGTTGTCCAGCCCTTCACTTACTTGTGACGTCACAGTGAAAACGCGTCATAAAGCTGTCAAGCGGCTAGCGGGGTCAGGCACGCCCCACGTCAGGCCTTTTGGACGACTCGCCTTTGTTTGGTTTTCCATTGTAGAAATGTTGTACCTGTACCAGTTTCCAGGTACTTTTTTTTGTATCACCTCACCTCCATCGAGGTTCCAATCGAGCTGAGGGATACTAAAATGTCCCTCAGCTCGATTGGATGTAAATGTGAAAACACGACAGACTGCTGATTGGACAGAGAGAATATACACTATTCACTGCATCATGATTGTGTGCGCCAGACAGGCCAGCAACATAAAGTTTTATATTTTAGTTTTCATATGTAATTTCATCACTAAATCCACTTCTGAGAAGTTTTGAGGTGAGAAATCAGCTGTGTAGATTTCGAATATTGACAGTTTTACGAGAAGTGATGGCGGAACAAAAATGTGCTTGAATATTTTCGGAGTTGAGGAGCTCCGCAAGTGGCTGCGGGGGATGCCTGTGCCAACCCACAGGAGGAGCGTGTGAGGCAGGCCAGCCGCCCGCTCACAGAGCCCTCTTCTCCCGCCGTCACACAGACCGCTGCAGCAACAACGGCAGAGGAAAACACAGCTGGAAAGTTTTCATACCGCTTATATGTCTTTACATTCTGAGTAATGTTGAAACATTTTAATTTAAAAAGAGAAAGATGTGTGGATCACTGGTGTGTCGCATTGAACATTAAGTTGCGGCAGTTGTGTGTGGCGTTGCTATGACGACAAGCTACGTACTATCTCTGGGTACTACCTACAATGGAAAACGGAGCAGGGCCGAGTAGAGTCGAGTCTATCGATTTGCGCTATGGCAGCATTTTTCGGCAAGGCAGCATAACGTTAGATCGTCAGAACACTGGCAGCAGTTCAACGTTTAGTCCTGAAAGACGATGCAACTCCGACTCTGTTTGGGCCTGAAAATTCACAATCACAACCTGTAAGTATGCTTTATTGGTTGTGAATTATATTTAAAATAAACACGACAATGTAACTTCACAGACTGTTGAAGTGCGGAGTTGTTGTAAACGCTGGCTAATACGGCTAAAGTTATAGCTATAATGCTAATGTTACACCTGATGTGAAATCTACTGTTGTTTGGCCAATTTTTATGTAAAAGTGAGTTGAAATATGGTGATTTTTGTAGTGGTTTATGGTAAGAATGTAACAATGATGTTGTGTGGTTGTGGACTTGTGAGTAACTTATACCATCTGTTACGGTCGCAGTCTGAAGAGGCTTTGATTTGGATCACACTACCTTGTTTCTTACGACCCGCCCTTCTCTGCTTCTGATTGGCTAGTAGTCCTTACCTGGAAACTGCGCATGTGCAATTCCCAACATAGATTTTGTACAAGTAAGATGCATCACTCTGTAGCTCAAGAGCGGAGCGTACAACACATAGGGTGAAAAGAGGAGCTGCAGCAATGTGCAGTATGAAACAAATATGGTGTTTTTTGAAAATTGAACCATGTAAACCTGTTCTGGTACAACCCCTAATTAAGATTTTGAACCTGAAAATGAGCATAATACTACCTTTAACCTTTAAAACTAAATGTACTCACCAGAGAAAGTGAACCGTTGATGATCCTAATAAGCGTTTTCAACGGCGCTGGTTAAATTTACCCAGTGCCGAGGGTACGAGTCGCCTCTAGCCTGACTGACAGGTCGCCATGGTAACGACTTGTCAATCATAGATAATCCCGCCCTGAAACATACTTTTAGTTTTTAAGTTTTGTAATCTGAGCTAACAATATTTAGGCTATTCAACCTTTAATGTAGCCCATGCAGGTGGGGATAATAATCATCTTTATTTGTAGAGCACTTTTCAAAAACAAGTTACAAAGTGCTTTAACAAGTGTAAAGACAATACTACCCAAGAGACAATAATACAAAAACAGTACAAGATAAAAGAATGAAAACATTGAAAAGACTAAAATATACGTTTAAGATAAATATAAAATTAGTAAAATAGAATAAAATAAAAGGGATAAAATAAAGTCAAATCGGGAAAGGCTCTCCTATAAAAGTATGTTTTAAGAAGGGACTTAAAAGAGTTCACTGACTCAGCTGACCTGTCCCCTTTAGTTTTCAGTCGAGACTCTGGAACAGACAACAGACCTCTGCCCGAGGATCTCAAGGCACGTGCTGGTGTGTGTGTGACTAAAAGTTCAGAAATATAACAAGGCGAGAAGCCATGAAGAGCTTTAAAAGTGATCAATAGAATTTTAAAGTCAATTCTAAAACATATTGGAAGCCAGTGTAATGAAGCTAAAAAGAACCAGTTAGGTAGGGCTTTTTAAAATCAAAAAAAAAAACTTTAAACACTTTTAAAAATCTAATTAATTAAAACATGGTGAAACAGACGTGGCTGACCTTTTCACAGCAGACGTATTGATATTTCATAGTAGGAAAATAGCAAGTGTAATCAATTATATACATTCCATTCAGATTAGCTAGTTCCAATGTCCCTCTTTTTTTCTGCTCGCTATCATGTCTTTCTTACTGATAGAACTGAGCCATCGTTAATGTTATTAGTTCCACTTGTGCTTTTCCTCTTTTGACACTTCAAAATGTCTACTGTGAAAAAGACCTGTTTTTTGTAGAATTAGCCAAGAATTTCCCATGACCCTGTTAATAACTTTATTCTTTTGATCTTTTTTTGTTGTAAAACAAAACAAAGCAACTACAGTTTCGGCAAACCTAGCAAAGCACGTCTTCCCTTTCACGTGACGGATGCGCCAGCAAATGAAATGCGAGATTGTTTATCCTTTAGACCAATGAGAATCGGTACTCATACACCGAAACGCCCCCCAAGTTAGATTGAACTCCGGTTTCTGTCTGTCAAATTATTTAGCTAGCCAATGTTAGCCAGTTAGCTGGGATGACACCCAAAGGAATGGAGAGCAGCTGAGCAGTTTCTGCGAAAACTACACAGGGACACGCGTTAACGTCGCTGTTAAAGGGACTTTTACAGCTCTCTAGCAAATACGGTGAGTTATATCACTAAGCTTTCTTACGTACATTGGCTAAAATGAAAGGAGTTCATTAGCAGCGACAGAGGTAGCCTTGGAAGCTAACGTTAATGCTTTAGCTTAGGTAAAGTGACTCAAGGAAAGCAGGTGAGACAACGTCAGTATGTGGGCATTGACTAGTCTTACACTCCGAAAGAGTATTTAGTCAGATTTCCAGCTGTCAGCTAAAATTACGTTAACGTTAGGTTTAAGTACTTAACGTAAAGTTGGACAGTTGCTAACGTAACTTTAGCTCTGTAACGTTGTAGTTAACGTTAACAAATGACACGATAATACGATACCCTGTCAGAAACACAGTTATATAATAATAAAACACTGGTCTCTATTGTTACCATCCTACGACAGCCTGTATTAGTTACACAACCGATTTTTGAACGTCAACAACAACACAACAACTAGCATAACGTTAACTCCTGAAAAAGCCAGGTTAGCACGAAGCTAAGCTAACGCTATCCCAAACAACACCTCTTTGTAGATCTTTACGAAGTAATACCTGTTAACGTTTCTCGTTTTGTAGTCTGCCAGATATGGCATCGATATTTTAATGTTAAGGTCAAGGTGAAACGATATAGAGCTAACAGTTAATATTATAGTGATCGCTAGATGGCATTTGATCAGCATTAAGTGTTTGGTTGTGTTCACAAGGGGTGTGTGTGCGCGTGTTTTTGACCTTAACTGCAGCAACAATCACTTGTTTCATATGTCTTTTCATCACAGCAGCGGATGGCCCGGACTGCTCTTGGACTTACATAAAAAGAGGGACACCATTGTGAGCCTCTGAATGAGTAATGAACCTAAACCCCTTCTGGAGCATGTCTGCCAATACAAGTCGTAAGGTAAAGTTAAACATTAAGGTTCAACTTTATTATCATGTGTATAACGATGAAATGCTTGAGCTCTGGCTTTCCCTGCCTTAATTATACATAATATACGGTACCATATACATACACAATATCAATAAATATTTGCAAAAGTGTTAAGAGCACAATATACAATACAAGTACACACATTGAACTACAATATGTTTAAAAAAGCAAATTACACCAAACTTTATAGTAAAGTGATTCTACAATGACTGACTGCTTGCATTGGATGAAAGTGTGCAAATACATGCACGTCTGTGGAAGCCCCTCTGAAATCTGTTAGACATGGTCAGTCATGTGCTTTACAGAACTAAACACTCTTCACAGACTCTTCAAAGTCTGTACAGATAGATAATGGTGCATAGCATACATATATCAGCCTACAAATTTCATTTTAGTAAAAGCAGAGTTTTACATACCATACTTCCACCATACTACCTTATTCAATCCGAGTTATTTTATGTTGACTATATATTAATCTTATGTGCGCTGACTTTATTGGTGGACTTTGAAGGGTTCCTCGAAGGTCTTACGGCCTCATATGTAAAGTTTGTTGAATACCCAGAGGAGATCAACCTAATTGGCTTATGTTTTGTCTCCCAATTAGTCAGAGTACTAAATCAGTGTCACCAAAACTTTGTAAATATGAAGGTTATGTGCACTCAGCAATCGCAACTTTGTTTCAAGTTTTAGACAACGGTTATTTTAATACTTTGTACTCTTAACAATTTTGATTTGAGCACTTCCAGCCTTTGTTTCTTAGAGGTCTTCAATCTTGCACCTCTTGTATTCATTTGAGGGTGTGGTATCCTACTCATTTTTAGAAAAGACTTTTGAGATCAGCAACTTTCTTCAAATCAAATGTAAATGCACGGGTTAGGAAAACTGCTCATTCTGATGATTTAGAATCTACCATCTGTGCCAGTGATTTAGTACAGTTAGCTAGTGCTAGGCAGAATATCCACCAAAGGGCAATTTTCGTATGCTGGTGTAACAACCCTGGTGAGGTAGGGTGGAAGCAAACACTGTACCTTGAGATTGGGTGTTGGTTCATTTTTTTTTTTTCCTGCTTAGTCAGAGGAACAGTTTAGAAACATTCTGTTGTCAAGTCTGACTTCAATGAAAGTGCAGGCTAGATCTGTTGTATTTGCGCACTATTCACTGCAAACATTCCTGGCATACTTGCATTAGTTTTCCGCAGTATTCATTGTGGCATTGTGCTGTGCGCTCAATGTGTACAATGACACTGTACTGGAACTACTATTATCATTCTGAACAGCATCAGTAAGATAATGATAGCTGTACTGGAAAGTGCATGCCCTAGTCTAGACACTGATTCCTGATCAGATGAAAACCAGATGGGCAGTGTAACCTGAGAGGTTTGTCACAGCACATGGTCACTATCCTGAGACATTGGTCTACTCTTGAGTGTGCATAATGGCTCAAACGGTAGCCTTCTCTAATCTGGCACTCAAGACTTTTCCTTGTGTCTGCTTTTTTTACATGGCAAGAACGTGTTTTTTTGTTTTGGTTCTTTTTCAGCTGATGTGTTGACATTCCTGTTATATTCCTTACACAAAACAGCAGAGATCTGACAACGAGGAACAGAGTGGGCACGGGGAGCAGAGAGCCAGTCCGGCTCGGCTGTCCTTTGGCAAAAAGCAGCTTCCACCCATTCCTAAGAATGCAACCCCCATTACCAAGCCTGCGTCATTGGGCACCCCACCCCAGTTGACCAATGGCACACACGCCTCCTATGGCCCCTTTTACCTGGAGTACTCTCTGCTGGCTGAGTTGTAAGTAGTGGTCCAGTATCAGAATTTAAAGTTCAATTGGTTTGCATATGCCCAAGTACTCTACGTTAATAATTTTCCTTTTTAAAATATGTTGGTAGCACTTGCTTTTAAAATGGTGTCTGTATTAACTTGATGTCAAAGTATCCATTTTAATTTAGCACGTAAGATGAAAATAAGTTTCATGCATGTTTTTCTTGCAGCACACTAGTGATTAAACAGAAGCTCCCTGGAATTTATGTCCAGCCGTCCTACAAATCGGCACTAAGTAAGGACCCTTTTTAGAGTTAATGTCTGTTTAATGTATACACTAAAAAAAATGTGACAACTCGTGGATTCATTCTTGGATGGTCAACATCTGGGCACTACATTTAAAAAAACTTGTTTATAATATTCTTAATCTTCTGTGATCTTTATACATGTGTCAATATATTCTGTACAAAATTTTTGTCGTAAACTTTCTATTCATTTACACTGCTTGGTCCAGCATAATTCATACCTGTGTTGATGGAAGTAAAGATTTTGAAATACCATGTCTCCCACTGTTTAGTGTGGTTTGGGGTCATATTCATCAGACATGGCTTGTACCAGGATGGAGTCTTCAAATTCACAGTGTATATTCCAGATAATTATCCAGATGGGGAGTGTCCAGTAAGTGTACTGTACTTTTTAATTGAAATTTTTTTGTTGTTGTTGTTTTTTTTTTTACTGTACAAAAAAAAGATTGGAGTGTATTTTCTAGCAGGAAAAAGGTTTTGTGTGCATCCAATCATCATAGTATTTCTGCTCATCAGGGTTTGTAATTCTGTCTGTTCCAGGTTTAGCAAAATGTGCATCTTTTGAAACATAAACTGTCATCTGGAAATGTGTTCAGTCATTAACTACATGTTTTTCCAAGATAAGGTGACTATAGTGAGTGAAAGAAAAGTAGGATTCTTGAACACTGATGCAAAAAGTTTAAGCAAACCCTCAGTCATCTCGTCCATATGCTTCCTTTCAGAAATTAATATTTGACATCCCAGTCTTCCATCCTCTTGTTGACCCTGTGTCAGGAGAGCTTGATGTGAGAAGAGCTTTCACTAAATGGAGGTATGCTCTATTACTTTTCAAACATGAATATTTAAGTGAAAATTTTATGTTTGAACCGGTGCAGCATGGTCAGTGCTTTTCGCCAGTTTACTTCTTCCTGTCTATTCCTGGCAAAAAGGATTAATGATGTCAACTCCGTATGTTGTTGTCTTGTAGACGGAATCACAACCACATCTGGCAAGTCCTGATGTACGCACGTACAATTTTCTACAAGATCAATACAACGGAACCACTCAACCCAGAGGCTGCTGTGCTGTGAGTATCTGATCCTCCTTTCAGTTGTTTTATCTAATCCCAAAGTAAAAGATGAAGTTAGAGGACCCGAGTTTGCTCTACTGCTGTGTGATATTGCTAAAGACTAAGCATTGCAGGCAAGGTTCCAAAATTAAGGACTATCTTGATAGATTATCAATTATTGAAACCGCTATTGATTATAAATCACACAATTACTCAATGGGTCTTGTTTAGCTTTTGTTTAGTTGTTTTAGGCATGTGCTATCTAACGATAAA